AGGCTGAGCAGACCACTTTCCTCTTTCACGTAGCTGTCTCACCTCCTCTGACACTTGATTGATCTGACCTTGTAATTTGTCGACAGTTGACTTCATCTCTTGCTGGAATTGCAGGGTACTGGTAGCCATAGATTTCACCAAGTCTTCCAAAGATGGACTGGAGTTGCTTGTGGGTGCTTGGGGCGGCTGTTTCTCATAGAAACGAGGTTGTTGCATCTGCTGCATAGCTCCAAATGTTTGATGAGCATTACCCTGCTGTGCGTTTCCATAACGCAAGTTCGGATGATCTCTCCAGCCTGGATTGTAGGTGTTGGAGTATGGATTGTACGCTGGAGGTCTATTCATACCGTAGTTTGCAGTGTTCACATCCACTGCACATTCTTCTTGGAGGGTCGGACATGCATCTGTAGAGTGTCCTGCACTCGTGCATATTCCACATGCCTTGACCTGGACACTCGGGTTGGATTTTTCCACGACCATCTTGCGAACAAAGCTCGTCAACTCAGAAAGTTGTTGTTGTATCGATTGGATGGCATGGTCGTTGTTGTTTCCGCTCATATGTCCAGCATCTCTTGAACCAAATTGCTGCATATTTTCAGCCATCCTCGCAATAAGATCCCAAGCTTGTGCTGGCGTCTTATTTACTAAAGCTCCACCACTTGCAGCGTCGATAATGTTCCTATCCATCAACGACAAACCATCATAAAAATATTGAATCAATAATTGAGGGGGAATTTGATGTTGTGGACATTTAATGATAAGCTTATTGAATCGCTCCCAATATTCATGGAGCGTTTCACCTGATTGTTGCTTGATGCCACATATCTCCTTCCTCAGGATCGCAGCTCTGGAAGCTGGAAAGTACTTCTCCAAAAATTTCTTTGTCATGTCGTTCCTGTGTCGATGCTTCCAGGTGGGAGATAATAGAGCCAATCCTTTGCAACATCTTTGAGTGAGAATGGGAAGGCTCTGAGTTTGATCTGTTCGTCAGTAACACCTTGTGGTTTCATGCTGGAGCACGCCACGTCGAACTCTTGCAAGTGTTTATGAGGTTCTTCACCTGCAAGTCCATGAAAAGAAGGCAATAAATGAATTAATCTAGATTTCAGTTCAAAAGCAACATTGTTATTGAGTGTTGGAAAGTTAATGCATAAGGGCTGCTGTGCCAAGTCGGGAGCAGCCAACTCCCTTAAAGTGCGGGTATCCTCAGCCATGACAGTCTCTTGATCACTTTCAGAGTCGCTAGAGCTAGAGACTTTGAGGTGGTTTAAAGATTCTGCCAGCTTCGCAACCTGAGCAGCTTTTCGTTGCTTGGCTTCTTTTCGTACCTTTCGCTCAACCTTCTCGATCTCAAGATTAAATATTAGTTCACCTGTACGAGAAGAATGAGGCATAAACAAGAGGATAAATTAAAATAACACAAAGAGTAAAACAAAGCGCCAATCCCCGGCAACGGCGCCAAAAACTGACCTGTCGCGCGGTCAATAAAAAATTTCACCTACTCCGTGATCCCAATTTAATGTAATATAGGGGAAGGGATCATCTCCACAGGGATTGTATGATTCACTCTTTCGTGTTCTAATGCAGTAAATAAAGGGGGATTTTTCTTTTATTATCTAATTAAAATAAAATAACAAAGCAATTAAATTAAAGGGGAACTGACCATCAAGGGGATGCCTGGCTCAAGGGATGATGCAGTTATGACACTTGTGTTCTATCATTAATTCAATAAAATTAATTCTTATTAAAGTCTCAATAAATTGGTTATAGTTATCAACAAGCTCTGACAACCAATTTTTCCTTACAGTGTAGGTAATTAAGGTACGACCGTTAACTACCCCTAATTAAGCAAATAAACCTAGGTGTGCCCATAAGAATATTGCCTAACCGCATTCCAATCTAGAAAAACCCAATTCAAAACAATTACTACCTAAGAGGAGCAATTAGATTTGATTGTCTAACCCCCGGGAAGGAACTATTCAACCCGGTTGTCACCTATTCAAGTACGAATACAATTACGGATATCCTACTTGAATTGACTTTAGATTATCAGACTAATTTAAATATCGGTACCAAAATATTCAATCAATCTAACAATCACAAACGCTATTATCAGAATTAGACAAATATTGATAATCAAAAAGAACTTTCATAAAGAAAATCAAGAATCTCCAAAACAAAAGAAACAAAACATTATCACCCCTCAAACCAGAAAAGTATCTACTCCATAATCAAATAACAAATAACAAAAAAGAAAGATAAAGTCATAGTACATCTTCTCTGTCGATTTGCTCCTGCGCGATCTATGAGTCTGTCAGTCTCCTGCTCCTGTGCGTTTCTGCCCTAGCCGTCCTCCCTTTTGAAACGTGTGATCCCCCCCTTTTATTTAATTTTTGCCCTAATTATTTTGTAGATAGGCTTTTGGGCCTTTAATTAATTTCTCATATCAAGAGGGTGTAGTTAATCATGGTCATGACTAACTAGGTTGTGCAAATCTAAATTTTTCTTCCCTTTTCTGCCAATTATGCCAAATTTGATATTTGCCTTCTGCGCACAACAAATAAACAATTCGCATATAAATTAGGTAGAATCCAATCAAAATCACTCAAATATCGCATATGATATGAATATAAAATGCATGCGATTTCTAACTATCATTATAATGCAACGGATCAGGGCTATTCAACAGCAGACTAACAACCGCCGTGAAACTTATATAAATATATAAAAAATAATTTTTTAATACTAAAAAAATGGCTTGGGATTAAGTGCTCCCAAGCCCCTACATGTGTTCGTCTATGCATGTAGTCGCTACTCTTCAAGTGTATTTTGATTGAATCATTGGTTGAACCTAATAATATGCAAACTAGTCTAGCAAAATAAGTCACATTAGGCAAACTATGTGTTACACGTAAGATTTGGAGGTGTTTGAATTTGAATTTATGACCCCATAATTACGAGTTTACTCCCACACCATCAAGTCATTCATTACGGGACCAAATGGTAGTTTTTTAGCCAACAAATGTGCATTTTCAATGTATTCCAATCGCGTACACTTCCCCATAGAAGCTAATAGGTCATAAAACCCCTATGTACCTCCAATGATGGTTGTTGCCCTATCGCCACATGTAGGATGACTTCCAATAAATCTTTTACTTTAACCATCCTACGGAATACCAAGCACCTGGCAATGCTTTTTTCAAAATTAGATACTCCATCCGTCCCAACTAAAAAATACTCTTTTTTCATTTTTGTTCATCCATCAATTCGTTAATCAAAAGTATCAATTTTTTATTTTAGTAAAAATAATCATACATCAATATCAAAATACTTTTAACTTTTATCTAAAGTCAAATGACAAAAATGTCAAAACCTCTTACATACTTCCACTAACTAATAAAATATTATTATTTTTTAATCTACTACAAAACTTCAAATGGTCCATATGGACCGGGACAGAGGGAGTATTATTTTTTTAACTTCAATTAAAGTATTTCTCTAAATATGTTGATGTCAGGTACACTTTCTAACATAGGTCATCTCCTATATCTAACCAACAAGTGCATGAACTTCATATACAACTTAAAATCTCGGCATCATTCAATGGTATAAGATAAGGATTTCAAATGAGATTTCTGCCGGCTAATAGTAACTCACAAATACTAGAAATTCTTTATTGAAATGTATTAGTTAAAAATCTTCAAAAGTATAGCCCACATGAGAGCCTAAAGAGAAGCCACATCAACATTCTCCGGATGATCTAGACTCTATCGTGAAGGTCTTACAATAAGTGTATGGTAATCCAATCATGCTATATTAATTTACTTCTTCCGTCGCTTAAAAAAGTATTTATTTTTTTCACATAGTTTAAGGTATTAGTGTTATATTGATATGTAATAGGAATAAAGTAGAAAGACAAAAATAACCTTATTAGCATCGTGTGATATAAATGTAATGATATTTGTGTAATACTCATCCATCCTAATTCAAAGTACTCATTTTACCATTTTCGTCCGTCCCACTTTAAAGTATCATTTTTTCATTTTTAATAAAAGTAATCATACACTAACACCAAAATACTCATAATTTTTATTTAAATTACAAATATACTATTACGCATACACTTACTTTTTACTTAAAGTCAAAGAGTAAAAATGTCCAAATTTCTTACACACTTCCACTAAGCAACAAAATATTATTATTTTTTAATTTATTAAAAAATTTCAAATAATCAATTTCAAAAGGCACGGAGGGAGTACTATGTATTAATGGTTTATTTGACACTAATAAATGTAACAAATAGTTGAGTATAATGGATAAAACACAAACACATACACCCTTAATTAAAATGTGATGTAAAAAAAAATGATTGAAAGATCTACTTATTTAACATCATATCGTACTAAAAATATAAGTATTTACTATTTTTTCGTATTATGGATTTAATACATTGGTGTATATAGATTTAGAGATTTGTTAGTACGTTTGTTTTGTGAAATAATTTAAATGAATATATATATTTTTTATATGAAATGTACTTTTATATTATAAATTTTTAGGATATTTGTAATGTTATTTAGATAGTATAATTATTAAAAAATAAAATAAATACTTTCCACGAAATTAAAAAATAGAAGTATGTATGATGAGATAATTGATGTACAATAAAAATAAATAAAATTAGAATAAAAATACTGATGTGAAATATTTTGTGATATATATACATTAAAATATTAATGTTCTTCAATATTTTTATAATAAAAAAATAAGATAAATAAGTTAATTAAAATTTGTTTAATTTTAATTTGAAATTAAAATGAAAATTTAAATTTTATTTTAAATAATATAGTGAAAAATAAAGTAGTCGTATATTTTTTTAACCACCGTTCATTTGTTCTCCCTCTTTGCGTTTGCTACAAAAAAGGTTGGGGGCATTATGAAATTTTATTAAATGTGCGAGGTGGATTTTCAATTAATTCTGAGTGTGAGTGTGTATACCGTATACGTATCACTGTAAACCCTCCTCCCGCTTTCAGGTTTTGCCGCAGCTGCTCCTTCAGTTGCCAAAGCACAAAAGAAAGAAGGCAAGGGGCGAGATATGGTGAGACTAACAGCCGATTTGATTTGGAAAAGCCCTCACTTTTTCAACGCCATTCGCGAACGAGAATTGGATCTCCGAGGTAAAGTGCTGAAAATCCCTACACCTATTTTTGTATGTAATTTTTTCAAATTTATGTAAAACCCTAATGCGCCTGGAACGTTTCAGTAATTTGGTAATCTATGAAACGAATCTCTTGCAGGGAACAAGATTGCTGTGATAGAGAACGTAGGAGCTACTGAGGATCAATTCGACACTATTGATTTATCTGACAATGAGATTGTGAAGCTTGAAAATTTTCCCCTTTTAAATCGCCTCGGGACCTTGTTTTTGAACAATAATAGAATTACCAGAATCAATCCCAACCTAGGAGAATTTTTGCCCAAATTGCATTCTTTGGTGCTGACTAACAACAGGTTGACGAACCTAGTTGAGATTGATCCTCTGGCATCGCTCCCGAAGCTGCAATTCCTTAGTCTGCTTGATAACAACATTACTAAGAAACCTAATTATCGCTTGTATGTCATCCACAAGTTGAAGTTTCTACGCGTGCTGGATTTCAGGAAAGTAAAAAATAAGGTTAGTGTTCATTTTTCTGGTTCATTCAATTCTTCTGTTTTACTCTAAACTCTGCAAACTGCATAAACCTTTTTGGTTAGCATAATATTTGCTAATGGACAAGGATCTGCTCTAGTCTTGTGAGGATTTGGACCAGACTCATGCCTATCCTTACTATAGTTCAAACTGAACAACATAAATTCATAAGCATTACTATGTTTGGATGTATTTCTTTAGTGTTCTTTGAGTATGAGAGTAGTGTTTTTTTGTTGATTAGAATAGTACTAATGCTTAATAAAGTTATGTTTTGAAAATATATATTCGATGGGATATATAGTATTATGGAAATGATTCGAGGTAAGATTGATGATTAGTTGAAGGTGCGTGGCATAGGGTTTTGTAAGCATTAGTAAAGTAGAATTTAATTTGAATGCAATTTCATAACTAAATAGTTATTGAATTGTTGATTTTTTCTTTTTAATTATGCAAGAGTGAAAATGTTAGTTTTTTTTTTTTTTGGATTTTAATTGTTTTTTGGAAAATTATGTATGGTGGATTATGTGATTTGAATTTGTTTATTATTTGGGAAAATGCATAAACATTCCATTGTATCGGCAAATTTCTCAGATTTTTGCTTATTACTAACACACATGTTACTTTGCCTGGTAAGTCTTTATGTCTATAGAGTTAAACATCCGTGTTTACTGTGATATGATTGATGTTCATGATTGTTTCATCTAAATGATGTTTTGCTTGACAATAGGAGCGTGCCGAAGCCAATGCTCTGTTTGCTTCCGAAGAAGCTGAAGAAGAGGCCAAAAGGGAATCTGCTAAGACTTTTGTACCAGGTGAAGTTCTTTCTATCCAAGACGTTGCCAGGGAAGAACCACCTAAACCAGCTGCTCCAACACCTGAGCAAATCTTGGCTATTAAGGTATTTTTCTTCTAGTTTCATGCTATAGATAGTATCAACTTTTCTTTTCTACCAATTTCTCTTGAAATGATTCAATGTTCACAAATTGTTTTACTGTCTGATGCAGGCTGCCATTGTGAATTCGCAAACTCTTGAGGAAGTGGCAAGGCTTGAGCAGGTAATTTTGTATCCCATTTGGCTATATACTAAAGAGAGAAGGTAGAAAAAAAAAAAACACTAAATATCATATAATTCATATTGACTTTATCACGAAACATTGCTTTTTATGTTATTTTGTTTTCTATTTGAATGCAGGCACTCAAATCAGGCCAGCTTCCATCCGATTTCAATATCAGTAATAATGAAATTGTCCCAAAACGTGAAGTTGCTGAGAAGGATAATATGGTTACTGACAAAATAGAAGAGAATGAAGAACCTGAACCCAAAAAAGACGGGGAATCTGAACAGAGTCCAGTTGTATCAACAAAAATGGAAGAGGTATTTTTATTGCTTTCATACAATATTCTTGTGATTTGACCTCATGATGCACCTTGGCTGTTGTCTCTCCAAATTTGCTCCTTCAAGGCGCAATCAGAAACACTACACATGTCATGTGTTTTTGCTATAGTTGAGAAAATGACATATGCTTACTAAGACATAAAACTAGATTCTGGTTCTTTTCGTAAATGGCTGTAGTTGGCTCACCATGATCCCCATTCATCACGAGATGCATTGAGAAGTGTTGGAAGCTAAAATAGTGCACTAATTGGGAATAATCGACGTTAACTTCTCTATTTTTTCTAATTGCCAATCCAAGGCTTTGTCTTGATTAAGTCTTTTTGTGGTGCTTGAAGCATGCATCTTCTGTCCTTGCCTGGTGTACACATGTATGATTAGTTATCAGCTCATCAGAAAACTTCATGTGTCAAATGCATCCATCGATAGGAATGATCAATAGAAATAGAGGGAACTGAGCACGTGGAATTGGATGCACTTACGATTAATAAGTGATACATGTCTTGTCAATTCATTGAAGACACCATTACCATAATGAAAGGAAATAGTTGTATACTACTACAGTCTACAAGTTGCCAACCGTTTGTGTAAATTCTTCTTACCTCTACAACTGCTAGGTAGTCTATTCAGTTATGAGGTTTTCCTTTCTTTTACTACATAGGAAAAAGTAGTCAGCTTGTCGTTCTATGGCGTAACTTGCTGAAGCAGTTTTAGAGCCATTATTCTTTAACGAAGCTGTTGGGGAAACAAAGTCGTTTGAATACTCGATCTTAAGCAAGAGCTACTTAATCCTGCAAAGCTGTTATCTTTAATCATCCGATGCTGCTATAATATCGGTGTTCTTCTCATTCAATGAAATCTAATGGTGTCTTTGTTGTTCCAGGATTAGGCTGATCGATTGCCGAGCAGATACGCGAAACCTGATGGATGTTATGCTTCTTCCTGAAATGTGCTTTCGAAACTGGATTGGATTGTGCTGTGCTGTGCTTGTTCTAAATGCAAAGATTTTGGGGCAGTGATGTTTGTAATGGTTGTAGATTTACAAATGAGATTTGGCAATATCTGACATAGTTGATAAACACCCACCCACCCACCAAAGTTTCATATTAGGTCTCTCTCTCTCCAGTGTATTTCACTTACCTTGTCTTTGATTGATTACTTGTATTTCGTATCGAGAATTTGATCTGCTCAAATCCAACTAACCCAAAAGTGATTTGTTTATTAAAAGGGTAAGAAGACTCAACACATTCAATCTGTTCGAATGTGACTCGTCTAATAGGAAATCTTTTTAAAATTATAACGAACAATAAGAATATAGATATTTTATTTATTTTTTTCTTAAATATCTTTTCAAATTGTCTCTTTCTTTTTGGGTACTTGTCCTTTTTCTTCTGCAAATTCTTACCAAAACTTGTGAATGAATTACAATGGACAGCAGATTCTTTGGCCTAATTCTGACTGATCCACAAAGAAATTAGCGGTCCCTTCACATTGATGAAGACAAAATGTGAAAAAAAAAGTAAGAAAATGGCTAAAACCCTTGCCAAGCAACCAAAAATCCTAAAGCCTAAAATAAAAATATTCAAACAACTCAAAATAGTTCCTAACAATAATCGGCCCATCAATTTCAAATTGTCCAGACAGTATTCAACCACCAAAAAAATAAGTTAAATCACATTACAATCTCCACCAACATTTAGCTGCATATTTCATCTCGGTGTCTGGACAATCTTTAAGAATATCAAATTTTCATAGTAAAATTGTTCAAATGTTCAAATATTTTGCTTAGTTTAACATCTTTTGCCTGGGTTTGTTCCTCATCTATTTCTTCAGTAAAACCTTGATATTTACATTTATTTTTTCCTAATATTTAGTGCTTGTCTGTAATAAAATAAGGTAGAATAATTTGGGGATGAACTTGTGAATTTAAGGAAATTTAAGTATCCATCCAAAAAAAAAATAATGAAAGAAGAGATGATGAATAGGGATGTTAAAAAGAATAAAGATAAAAACATCGGATATATATATTCAACTTTGCTCCACGTGGCATTTGAACCCATAATCTACGGTCACGAGTGCACCATACATCACGGACCATCCCTAAGGGGCACCTTAGAACAGAGTTTTGATTTTGTGTTCCATAGAGTACTAATATATACACGTACACATTTCTGCCGTTTTCGGTTTCTTCTTCACAACAAGTTTGAGCTCATGGGATTAGCAAAGTAATGAAGTCGGCATATGAGCTCCGATTTTCTCAACTTGTTTCCAAGAAGCTTGGCGAGGATGGATGGAGGCTCACTACTCATCTGTTGCTTCTTCCGACCAACAATGTGGTTATCCAGAACCAGCATCTCTAACAGTTGCCTGCAGCTCTGCAATTCAATTCAATCCAATCAACAAATACATAATAAGGAATGGGAATCAGATCGACAGCTTACATTCAACTCACATAATCAATTGGAATCTAATACTTAATACTAATTGTTAAAATATATTTAGAAGAATATATTATATTCACGGTAGTTGTCTTATTTAAGAGAATAGTAGGATTCTTGCCTTATTTAGACAATTTGTATATCACTATAACTATGTACGTATTCTTATGATTGAAACAGATGCATATGTACATTCTGGAGAGGTACTGTGAAAAAAATATCTGGATCAATCATAGGAATACATACATATTTATAATGATGTACAAATCATTTAAAACTAATTTAGATCAGATGCATACCTGAGGGTTTAGACTGTCCATTTGGTTTATGATTTCATCCTGTAAGTTAAAAACAAAACCATGAAAAAGAGAGAAATAAATAAATATGTTGAATCGTACAAGCCAGGAATGAATTGAAGATCATAAAATGCCACAGAGAAAGTAATCAAACTAACTATTCACAAAAAGTATAAAAACCAGAAGAGAAGGGAAGATACCATTACCTCTAATATCCCTGGATTTTGCATTACAATACCAAGAACACGTCGTACCAGCCCTTTGTACACAGCTTCGTTGACTGTACCGTCTCCATTCATCCACGGCAAGAGGGGGCTGCATATCCTAGCACCCGCAGCATGGAGATTCAAGGTTCCCGTTTTGGGAATGGCAACTCCATCATGCTGGCATCCTGCTGGATCTGTATCTTTGGGTAATGATTCAGGAGCATCGGCTACATCTTCAGGACGATTTAAAATTGTGACTCTGTGTTCTTCTTCAGAATTCTTATCACTCTCATTCCCCATCTCAACAACTTTTTGTCCATGATTATCAACATCTAGAGGCATGCTGCCATCCCCAACTTTCTTTTCTTGATTTCGTAGATGAGTTTCAGTGTGATTGGAAATGGACGTCAAGAAATATTTGGATCGATATAGAGAATCAACCACATGAACAGAATCATAAGCATTGACCTATATTTCACCAGTAAGAGAAGCATTGATTAGTTCTAAATAATTTACACCAATGGCATTTCATTGATGCTAAATGTAAAATTAGACCAAGTTATACTGTGAATATGATAGAAAACTCAAAATGCAGAAAATGGTCGTATTAAAGGATAATATATTTCAATTTCAAAAGGGCAAACCTTGAGAACTCTTCCAAATGCTTCAAGCACCTCAATCATGACTTCCAAAATCTTATCATCTGAACAAAAGTTGACGCTTTCATATATAAATGAAATTAACATATAATACATGCAATGTTCTTAACTGTTGATAGTTGCATACCTTTAACTTGCAGAACATCATCAATTTCTTTCATGCTCAAGCCGTTATCACCAGACTTCTGAATGGCTGAATAAAGAGTTTTTAATAATTGGGGCTGGAGATATGAATTATTCACTTCATGAGAACTTGGAGACATCAGATATTTGGAGTAGTCGGTCATAGCCTCCCAAGGTGATGATTCACTCGCATTGGCTGCAGGATGGGCAACTCCCCCAGAATCGAAGAGTTCTTTCTCATAATCAGCTAAACCCAAATCTGAAGAACCACTGTTACAATCTAAACCTAACAAGATATTGCTTGAATCTTTTCCACCGAAGTTACAGAACAAGGGGGTGGCAGAGAGAGGCCCATCTTTAAATGATTCAATAGCAAGTGTTCTTGAAATCGCTTCACGATGCAATAATACCTTTATACCAGGAAAACCTTTTTCTCGTCGAGAGGTTATCTCACCCTCACCAGCAAATGAAGCTTTTGCTTTCTTAAATACTTCTCCACTATCAAGCTCACTGTTATCATGTTTACGTTTGGAAGCTCTGGTCTCTTCTGCCTCACCAACACCTTCATTTGGTAAGCATGGGGTAATTGACATCTCACCAGAAGAAACCAGAGCACACAAAGTCAAAATTTCACCACATTGCATATCTGATGGAGCATCAACACCCTCTTCCATCAAATCCTTTGCTTTTTCATCAAGCCAATTAGCAAACTTATCAGCTCTTTTTCCAGTATCTGAGGGAAATGGAGATGATGAAATACTCTGCAAGAAAAGCTGGGATAGTACAAAGGGACTATTACAGCTTCCACCAATCTGCGAAAAAATATATATATGTCATCAGACAATAGCAAAACCAAAACCAGCAGGATTGAAATGTATTTCTGTTGGCTAGAGGAGGAAAAGACTACAACCAGGGAGAAAATTGCCATAAATGAAGTGATGTATGCAAGAACTTATTATGTATTTATTAAAAGGAAATTCTAAAATAAATTTGAAGCTTTTACCCCAACAATGTTCAGCCATATGGAGCTAAGCATTGAAATTAGTGCATGAATTTAACTTACCATAATTTTCTTCTCCCTTAGGTAGCTGAAAGCAGCAAAAAGATCATGTTCAGAATATCGACGCAGTGTTTCAGCCAGTAAGGTTGAGCCTTCCGGAGCTTTTGAGTTACTAAGAAAGATGAGTTTAAATAGTTCTGCAGCATTTGCAATTGCAACCGATTCGTGCATCTGTCTGCTGATGCTTCTACTGCCTTTTAACAGCTTCATATACTTTCTGGATAGCTGCTGGGATCTGGATCTACTGCGAGATGTTTTAGTCTCACCACAATCATCCAAGTCCTGAACATGAGAAGGCTATTTAAAGTGAACAAGCATTGTCATAAAGCTGCATCTAATATTGCAAGAAAAAATACAAAAAAAAAAAAATGATTTCCACAACCCTATGCATGTTTAGTGACACAAAAAATCCCTCAAAATGGCATCTTATGCAGAATCACATCCACAAAAAATTAAACTTCCCATCCATTCATTGTATTACACCAAAGGAAGAATAATATAATAAAGTATATCAACAAGCAACTACATCACTCACATTGTTTCTATGGTGTGATGAAGTATCTTGCCTGCCCTCCAACTTAGCCATTTTATAATTCCTCAAAACATCATCTAGTGCTATCTTGATAGTATTCTCATCAAAATCAGCCCACTGCTCATACATGTACTCCGATGAACAGAGACTGTCTTTTTTATGTGAAGGATCGGAAAGCATTTCTCCTGATTCTTCATGATTCAGCATCTTGTCCTGGCATGTTTCAAGGTATTTGGCATAACGATCTGCAAGGATATTACATAGTTTCATTAAAGCTTTTCTAACGAGGGGATAACTCTTCAAATTTGCCATTCTTCTTTTGCAGGCATCAGGAGAAGAAGGAAGATTTAAAATTGAGGTCCAATCCACACGATGAAATTTTGCCCCTAAAGCTGCTCGGTATCGTGCATATTCCATCACCAATTGCCTGTGAACAGTTGATCCATGTGAGAACAATTGATCAGAGACTTCAAATAATAAGACAACAATCAGAAGCAACTGCCAATAATTATTAGACAGCTGTCTTTATGCCAAGATAATAGAGGAGTGAATGTATTTTTACTTGCAATTCACAATTTTACTTGTTATTCAAATCTAATTATACCAATACAGATTTCATGAAAAAAAGACAGGAAAATGCTTCTTCTGCTACATAATTATTCTTAACAGGCAAGAGTTTGAAGGTGTATTTATTTATCTATGTTTTTAATTTGATGATCTTGAGGTGGAAGAGTTGCTGATGTAATATTTTGTATCGAAAACAGGTATTCAATTTGATGCTTTTAGAAGAAAATTGCGAGATTGAATATTAAAGTTTGAAAAAAAAAAAAACAAAAAAGTGACAACACCTTGAGTTACTTAGCATTACCTATCAGACTCATCAGCCCACAAAAACCGTTTCTGGCGTGTTGAAGTAGAAAATGCCCGATTGTGAATGAAGGTAGAGACTTCATTTTCTTCATTTAAATTTAGCTCATCTGGTTCTTCCGTGGGATCACCTGCATAATATTTATGCAGCTGAAAATCATAATCTTCAGTAACTGATAACAAAGAGCATTGTTCCTCAGTAAATTGGTCGTCATCTAAAGAGGCAACAGGGTCCACATCTGACACACTTGATTGTCCATCTACAACATTAGAAGTTATCAGCTTTGAGGAAATTTTATCTGGACGTCGTTTTCTTTTGCGTGTATGAAGATCCTGTTCATGGCCATCCAAATCTCTCTGATGCCTAGTTAGCCGCTGCTGCCTCTTGTCATAATACACACGAAGCACCTGCAATATCATAAGCACAGAATGACTCATGTACTAATGGAAAAAAGATTATAAGCATCGATATAGTTGACTTAGATGTTACTTTTAAATTCAAATAATCTCATTATTCCTTGAAGTAATCTAAATCAAGTATAAGCTTCTTAGCACCGACTTTCAAGGTTTTAGCTTACCTTAACATAAAAACATGATTTAAGTTGTCAATTCCTAATATAAAACCATAGTATCACAAACTAATCTTCCATGTCCTATGAACAGAAGAATGCTTAAAAGATTATAAAAATACTAAGGGTGTGTTTGTTTGGGGGTTTTGGATTTTGAGTTGGTATTTGAATAGTAAAAATTTTAAATTTGAATAGTTGTATGATGTTATATAAATAGGTGTTAATGTGATGTTTTGAATATAAAATTGATTTTTAGTATAATATAAAAAATGAAAAATAGGTATTTGATTTGATATTTTTGGGGGAAAAAAAATGGGATGAATAGTGGGATTAAAATCCAATCCCCCAAACAAACACACCCTAAGAATGTTTTCCAAGTTATCTAACCTGCTCCAGGGTCAAATTGAGATCTTTAGCAATTTCCTTGCAGTGACGGAAAGAAAGTTTTCCGTTTAAGTCATCATTTGCTACACGCTCCAGCAGTTTCACACGTTGTTCAGCTGTCATTACTCGGACAGATGCCCAAGCTCGGGAATGAAACACCTGAACAAAGCTCAATACCAATCCATAATGAGCAAATTAAAATGCAGATAGGTAAATGCCATCACAAGTCATGTTCATATGACATAAATAGGTCCAAAATAATGCACGGTTGAATTGCAAACACAGGATACATCTTTCCGCAAAACAAAATTGAAAGCAAAATTATGTGGATATGTTAATAAAGGGATCCGGGGCTCATCTCAAAACCAATTGGTGACAAGAGGAGTTCCCCTTCCCCCTGGGAGCTCCTACTATTTTTCCACTATGGACACAACACTTACCATTCCCGCCTCGAGATGATATTAATTTCGAAACCAAATCCCAATCAAGATCAATATTCAATACGAATACCATGCCTTTGATACCATGTTAAGAAGGAATCCAGGATTCTATCTCAAAACCAAGTGGTTATTAGAAGAGTTGTCCTTCACCTAGGGAGCTCCTATCACTTTTCCAATATGGGACACAACAATAATAGGGTAAATACATGTGGATGCCAATATGCCATTTTTTTAATTTACTCAGCATAATAACAACTGCCTTGGATGCCAAATTGAAAATATGAAATTCTGACTATTAACTAAGAAGAAATAAGGCTAGTTCGAATTACCTCTTGAACTGCAGATCCGGGAAATGCAAGCAATGCAGCTGTAGATTTAGCTGTAGCATAACAATATTCCAGTGTATTCCAGTATTCAGCAACAGCTTTGCTGCTTGAAAAAATAAAATCATGTCTGACTTGAGGACGCAAATCAGGGAAAATGAAACCAGAGGCTGTGACAATTGAGACCGGTTCCTCAATATAAGGTTTAAGCTCTAACGCATGTGTAAGAGTTGTGCACTGGCTGCTACCTTCATCATCTGCATGGTCCTTGCTTACCAGACGAATCAACTGCCCAAATGCCAGAGTTACACCATCGCCAAATTGAACTTAAAAAATCAAATATGAAACTAGAAGCTAACTGAAAATTACCGTTTCCAATAAGCAGCAAAACTATTAAGAAATAAAACAAGGTAACTTGAATTTATGCAATACTATTAAGAAATAAAACAAGGTAACTTGAAATAAAACTATTAGAGCCAGCAGTGGTACTTCTGCAATACTTTACTAGAATATTAAGCAAGTTCTGACCAGGATATTATTAACCTAGGTAAATGCAACCACTGAAAAGTTATTTATGCAAAAGAAGCAAAACATTCTTCCCAGTAAGGACCATTAAATTCAAAATTATATTTGCCAAGGCACTTGCTAAAAATAACCCAATGGATCGGACTAAAAAGGAAAAACTTAATTCAGGTAAATTCAAACACATCCAAATGTTACTTTTTAGTACCTTCATCACTAGCACAATCTAACAAACTCAATAACCAGTTAAGAATTTATTAGAGCAGCCGCATCTGCACAACTATATATTAGTAGAGATATCAAGCAATATCTAACAGAAATTTTGAGCATTTATACCTTCAACCGCCGTAATATGTCAATGAGCCAAGATAGTCGTCCAGTTGCTCGGGTATCCATCAGACCCTTGTATTCTTCCATGGGAAGATCAGAAAGGAGAACGCCTCTTCTACATTTCTCAACCATATCCTCAAATTTTTTAACAGAGCCTACTACTTGTAAAAACAACTCAAGTGGCATGGACCTGATGGCCATGTCTAACTTGAACAACTTACAACTGCTGTGCGAATTCTTTGAATTATAAGTATTACAGGACAATAAAGTATCATCCCAACCAGAGTAACTGTAGATCCAACCCCAAAGGAAGTTGTGAAGAAGCTTCACCCGAACCATTTTTGCCAAGACAAACCCATTAGCACGCATCAGTTCAGCACGCTCTGATTGGACATCTAGCTTTACATTATTTGGAATCCTCTGCACCCGGTCTAATATAGGAACAGATTGGCCTTTCTTCTGCTTCGCATATGATTGCTTACGAACTCGAATTTCAAAAGACCTCATCTTGTCATGGATTTGAGTCAATAATTCAGGTGACACATTATATACTGATGGGTGAAGGATCACATCTGTTGTCCTGCTGTTGCCACAATTAGTCAAAACTGGGACACTCACATTAATGCATTTACAGTGCCCTTCTTGCTGAAGTTTGTTCAGAATACGTTCTAAGGTTTTCTTGTCCATCATTGTGTTTTTCTCTTCCTCAAGGCTCTCAAGATGTCTGTGGAGCTCAGGTTTAATGAGGATTTTTTCCTCCTTCTCAAACCAAAAAATAAAAAAAAAAAAAGAAAAAAAAAAGGTTAAGTAGAGGATGAAAAGATATATATATATATATATAGATAGATAGATGGGCCAACTAGCTAAGATTAAAAGGAAATTAGAAACCTAGACAGACCTGCAGCATTTTCAATATGCGTTGCTCCCTCAGTGAGCTGGTTGCACTTATAGTGAGATGAGGGTACATTGGATATGGGCGGCGCCTGGAAGGTCTTGTAATAGCAGGAGAGCATATTTTTACTATGCCGCTGTCAGCTACCACCAATTTATTGTCCTTGAGTAGATCCTTATCACACCTTCCATTCCGTAGCTCCTCATCAGAATTATGTGGATTGCATTCCAAAAGCAGACAAGTAGAAGCATCCTCTTCAACAGTGGTGCCGTTAGTAGCCTCAGTTGTGCCTACTGCATCAATTTCACTTCTATTTATAGCTTTAACACTACCCATTGAAGTAGAGTTATCTAGCACCTGGAGAGATTGAGACAAGTTCTCACAGCAGTCCATATCCAGATTACGTGAAGTAGGTGGATGGACTTCCGGTAACACTTTTTCTTTTTCAAGGGAGCCCTTACTGGATGACTTATTGTTAAAGTTATTAGCTGTCCAAACTCGGTAGACCTCACCTTTTTTGTGGCTTTCCAACTGCAAATGTAATCCAAACCTAAAGATCATCTGTTTAAAGTATCGCTTGTGGTACTCCTTGCTGCATAGCCCAAGTCTTTTGCACACCTGCACATGTAACATAAAGTTTTGTCCATGAATTAGTGTTTACGCTGAGTAGGACTCACAAAACGACCCTAGTGAAATGGTCAATGTAACGGACATAACTAAAATGTAAGATAGAAAATAGAACAAAAGCTCCTAAATCAAGACATCGGCATAAAACACATAAAAAGCAATCATTGATAAGGTTGAAGAAAATAGAAGGCATAAATACATCAAGCCCAATTTAACTGCATTCTCATTTCCCACATGTGTACTTACTTCTAAATTAGTCAGCCCTTTTGATCCTGCAGCATCAATCATGTCATATATCTGACGTAAAATGGGAAGCTCTACGACTTGTTCAGTAGTCTGTCCCCTCTGTAACAAATTCATTGACTGATCCATGTCCATATCATCATGCCCAAGTCCACGACGCTTTGGCTCAAAAATTGATGGAGAAAAACTTTTAAGCAGACGCAAACAATTGACCTCCTAAAGATGACAAAAAAAACGTAAGAAACAAAGCGAATGTTAATATCTTTCATATTACATGAAACATTCAATAAGAGTACACATTCTTCTATAATACTTATTGGTTCAGTAATTTGTTATAAATGAAACTATTGTAGAGTCCAACTCTCCAGCCCGAAAACTGATTCAAGGGTTGTAATAATGAACTAATTCCATGATCATGTTGGTCTTGCCCCGACCAACAGGAATATTATATATAAAGGACTTTTTCAACAACTAGTAATAACAGATTACAGGCCTTCCAAAGAGGGACAATAGGATTGCAGAAGACTCCCACCACTATGAATTTTGAAAAGTGATCTGAGCTTCAGGACATGTACCTTCTTATTGATTATTGTGCAACACTCTTCTACAACTCTTGCATCTTTCAACCTGTGACATATCTAAGCAGATTCCACAATCATCTGATTATTTAAATATTGGAATCTATAAGAGGATAAAATTTTCCCATTTGATAATACGGAAGTCCATTGAGAGGAAAGGAAAAGGAATTACATTTCTCCAAGATCTGTGGCCAGAAGCACCACAATAACCTAGATCTCTCTTTAGGTCAGAAACAACCAAAACCTAGGCAGGAAAATATAATATAAAATTAAATCAAAATTAGCTCATATAGCAAAAAGTGTGAGTAATTGCAGTGCAAGTCATATGTACAGCTGACCTTGCCCTGAGCTTTTTCAAGTTTGTCACATATGGCTTTCAATGCAGGTAAAAAGTCCTTAACATGAATATCCTCTTTTCCTTGTTCTTTGAAATCATCATTGCTCTCAAGATGATCCTCTGCAACATCCCTATCTGTTGAAAGATTGTCTGCCTTGATAATTTCAAGCCTCTGTTGGCACCCCAAATGCCTCCCATAACGATATAAGTAGAGCATATTTGTGGACACAATGGAGTTGTTATTCTGCTCGCTACTGCTGGATGCCTGTTTCTTCCTAATTACAGTTGGTTGCCTCACTATCAATCCTTGGGTTTCAAGTTTCTTTAGTTGATAGAATATATTGTTTGCCGGAATGCGTAATTCCTTTGAAAGCTCACTCTGCGCAATTCCATTTGTTCTGGACATTGAAATTCAAAGACCATAGAAAGTGGTGAATGAATCCAACACGAATGCTTGCAACAAATTAGTTTATTAACCAACCATGCTAAATAAAACTGTATCCAAATAATACTGCAAAATCGCGAGTGCTATCAGAAAGGCAATGAATTGAAGCGCACCTGGCAACAGCCAGGCGTTCAAGGATAACACGTTGAGTAGCAGACAAACTAGATTCCGACGCCTCCGTCTCGTATATCCCTAGAAAGATCTTCCTCATTGCTTCGGAAGCTACGATTTTGACATTTAACTTTTCGCACTCTTCTACTGTAGAGTTGGCTATGTCACAAGGATCGAACATTAACCCAGGAATCTCCACAAGATTCTCCCATATTGCTCGTTTCACGTTGGAGCACATCGGGAGGCCATTGGAAGCGAGTACCGAACTGAGTTTCGACCAGAGATTGCGGAGGTGGAGTCCATTTGCCCCTTCACAGCATACTTCTTCAAATGCAGAGTGGACGACGGCGTCCATCGGCGCTCCGGTGGGCCGTGGCGGTTGATCGGCTTTATCGTTCTCCTAGATTTTGGCGGGGATTGGGATTTTAAGAACGCCTGTGGTGGAGGATTAGGGTTCGAATCTGGTTTGGGGAGAAACACCAGCAGAATTATGCTTCATACAATCAAAACGAAGAAATTTCACGAAAGTCCTTAATATTATAAGTAATATCAATTTGGTCCCCAAACTTTCTTTTAAATATACATTCAGGAACCCTAACGAAGAGACCTCTATATATTCTCAAAAACCACATTGGGCCGCCGCCGCTACGATTCCCCTTTCCGCAGAGTAACGGAATTCCACAACCAACACAGTTTGTGAAGAAGATGGCCACGCAAATAAGCAAGAAGCGAAAGGTAAGTGTACAGGTCTTTATTTTGAGCATACAAGATTCAACTTTTTGTGAATATGGAATCGTAATTTGATTTAATTTTTTTGCCTATGTCGATTTGCTTCGGGCGGAATGCTAGTTTGTGGCGGATGGGGTGTTTTACGCCGAGCTGAATGAGTTGCTGATGAGAGAGCTGGCGGAGGATGGATACTCCGGGGTGGAAGTGAGAGTCACTCCCATGCGCACTGAGATCATTATTAGGGCCACCCGCACGCAGAACGTACTTGGTAAAGCTTTTTATATGTGTTTTGTTTTAATTACATCAATTATGTGATACATGGATGGGCAGCTACATGTTCTTCATTTTGTGGTTCTTCATTGGCTGTTAGTTGGCGCACTTCACCGATCTGTAGCTATAGACGTTTGTATTATTTGCATTCCATGGTGACTTTAGATTGAGCTTGCTACTTACAGTCTCTATTGTGGATATATCTATATCATTGATGATGTTTTGCTATTTACCAAGTTAATGGGAAATAGGATCTACTTCTATGTAATACTGATCCATGAATCGGTGCATATGTATACTTCAATTTTTCTTCTTGTAGTTTTCTATTGAATTAGTAGTTACTTAGAATTGGGTGAAGCTGTTCCTAATTTTTGGTTTTAACGGGGCAAAGAAAATGCATGTTAGGAGGAAATATAATGGCCATAAGGTTATTTGATCGACCAATTGATGTTTTTTTATTTTTGTTTTTCGTTGCTAGGTGAGAAGGGGAGAAGAATCAGAGAACTGACATCTGTTGTTCAAAAGCGTTTCAAGTTCCAAGAAAATACTGTTGAGCTTTATGCTGAGAGAGTTAACAACAGGGGTTTGTGTGCAATTGCACAGGCTGAATCCTTGCGCTATAAGCTTCTTGGAGGACTTGCTGTTCGAAGGTATCCTGCGTATCTTTGATGAATTTGTCCTGTTTGATTGTAGGTATATTTGATTAGGCATATCTTAAAATTTATGCACTCAAATTTGGTCACTTTCTTACTACTGAAACAAAGGGCCTGTCCCAGGGTGCATCGATCGGTATGAGATGCAATTACTATGAGATTTAATTTCCCAATTGTGCAGGCAGCCCAAGTTTCTTGGTATGGTTTGATTGAAATATCAGTAAATAATCCGACATTCGTTAATTGTTGTATTGCTCTGTTTTGTTATTTTTTAGTATGTGATTAAATGTATGGTTTCTTTTGAGCGTCATAACTATGGCTTGCACTGATACCATTGCTTAACCCCAGCAGGGTTTCTGTCCGAATGTGCTAAGCTCGATATCTTTGTGCTAAATATTACTATACCTGCTCTACGAAGCTATGAGTATGAGCAAGTGAAAAGCTTCAATTCTGTGTCCTACTGTCCTTATCTTATAATACTTTTTTATTTTCTGCAGGGCATGTTATGGTGTTTTACGATTTGTCATGGAGAGCGGCGCCAAGGGGTGTGAGGTAATATCTTGTAGGCTTCCAAAGGTTTGTCGGACATAATTCTCTACTCCTGCTTTTGCATTATGCAGGTGATTGTTAGCGGAAAGCTTAGGGCGCAGCGTGCCAAATCAATGAAATTCAAGGATGGATACATGATATCTTCTGGTCAGCCTGTCAAAGAATACATCGACTCTGCTGTGAGGCATGTTCTCCTTAGGCAGGCAAGTTAGATGATTGTTCATACATTTTACATCATTCTACTAACTTATGTCCAAGTAGAAGTAGACTCTTGCTTAACTATTCTTCGAATTATGGAGTGCCAACTGTTTAACCTTGTGTGATTTGCATCTACCCGATGAAAATTGTTGCAGGGTGTTCTTGGCATCAAGGTTAAGATCATGCTCGACTGGGACCCGAAGGGGAAGCAGGGTCCAGTGACACCCTTGCCAGATCTTGTCACCATCCACCCACCAAAGGAAGAGGAGTATTTCGCTGCTACTGCTGCCGCTGCAGCTGCTGCTCCAGCTCCCACTGATGTAGAGGTTGCTGTTGCCTAAAATTTTTATCAGCTATCGAATAGTGAATGTAGATACCCGAGACGAGACGGTTCTGTAATCTTGTTATTATACTGAGTCATATTCCAGGTAACTTGCTTTGTTTGCCTATTCTCCTTTGTTGTATCATATCGGGAACCTCCTGAGTTTGTGGCTTATTTCAATCCTACAGTACACTACTATTGTGTGGATTATATTTATTTAAAGGAAACAGTTTCTTTAGTAGTGGGAGAAAAATACTTCTGCTTATTTTATAAATCTTGTTAATGTGTATTTGACGTTTATCAACATTGAACCATTTCAAGTCAAGAAAACTATGTCAATTTGAAAGCCCAATAGTCTAAATTTATTTTTATAGCAAATTGATATCGATAATTATTCGTATGGAAAATTCGTGTTTAGTATTGGATTTTTGCTAAATACCTAAAGAAATATTACAACAAATTGGTATGGTAATGAACTTTTACTAAATTTAAAATTATACTTGCTCGGTTCACTTATATTGTCCACATCCGTTTTTGTCCGTTCAATAATTACATACATTAATTCTATTTTAAAAATTCTAATTTAATTATTTTTAAATTAATTAATTATCTTAATCTCAATCTATTTTAATTAATACATTTTTAATTATTTATTAATTATAATACTTATCATAAATTTTTGTCGTTCTATCACAAGTTATTGGTTTTTAGGAGTTCTCTTGTTTCTATTAATTTTTTTATAAACAGTGTCTGCATGAACATGCTGACGAACAAAATGACAATTAATCTCAATATGTTTGGTGCGGTCGTGAAAAACATTATTACGGGAGATCTGAATTGCGCTCGTGCTGTCACAATGGAGGTAAATGGAAGAAGGCTGAGGAACCCCGTGACAAAAAAGAAGCCGATGAAGCCAAATGAGCTTTGAAGTCGAATCCGCAAGAGCATGATACTCAGACTCTGCACTAGAGCGAGAACGAGAGTTTGTTTCTTGCTGCGCCAAGAAACAAGGGAACTCCCAAGTAAAAAACAATAACATGTGATAGAGCGACGATCAGTCGGATCACCTGCCCAATTAGCATCAGAGAAACCTGCAAGAACCAATGGAGAGTCGACAGAAAAATGAAGACCATGTAAGAGTTTTCCATTGACATAACGAAGAATGCGCAACACAACAACATAGTGAACTGTCCGAGGATTAGTCATGAATTGAGCAACAACATGAACCGCATGAGCTATGTCAGAGCGAGTGACCGTCAAGTATATCAGGGATCGCACTAACTACCGATAGCGGGAGGGATCCTCTAGTGGAGTGCCGTCGAAAGAAGCAAGTTGGTTGTTCCCCTCAAGAGAAGTGGATGCAATCTGGCTATCAGTCAGACCTGAACGAGATATGAGATCAAATACATATTTCGCCTGAGATAGATATATGCCATCTGGAGCGTCAGAAATCTTAAGTCCGAGAAAATAGCGGAGCTGACCAAGACTCTTCATGTCAAAGTGTCGATGAAGGTAGGTCTGTAGATCGGATATACCAGAAGTGTCATCGCCGGTAATAATCATGTCATCTACATGCAACAAGAGAATGATGATCCCGGCAGGAGAACGACGAATAAAGAGAGCAGAGTCATAGGGAGATGCAAAAAAGCCATACTGAATGAGCGCAACACTAAACTTGGCGAACCAAGCTCGGGGCGCCTGCTTCAATCCATAAAGGGCACGGCGCAACTGACATACCTTCTCTGAAAAATCTGAGCTAGGTGGAGGGGTCATGTAGACTTTCTCAGACAAATCTCCATAAAATAACGCATTCTTCACATCCAACTGTAATAATTGTCAACGTTGAACAGTGGCAACAACAAGAAGACAACGGACAGATGTCAAACGAGCAACTGGAGCAAATATCTCATCATAATCAATACTATACTCCTGTGAAAAACCCTTGGCTACAAGGCAAGCCTTGTAGCGCTCAACAGAACCATCGAAGTGAGTTTTGATTTTGTACATCCACTTTCAGCTAATAAGTTTCTTGCCATAAGGGAGATCGACGATATCCCACGTGCCGGTCTTTTCAAGAGCCCGCAATTCCTCAGACATAGTGTGACGCCACAAGGGATCACAGTTCGCCTCACGAAAGGTCATGGGTTCATGGTGAGATAAAATGGCAAAAAAATAATGATAATCAAGCAGATGAGAGAGAGGACGACTTACACGGGTGGGTCGCCGATCAGTGGCGGTAGGAACTGAAATTTCCGGAGGATCGGGCATAGGCTCAGGAGGCGCAAGAGGGTCAGCTAGTGAGGAGGATCAACATCAAACAGACCAGCAGGAACGGACGGGGGTTCGGGACCTGCAGAAGGAGGAGAGGAATCCAAAACATGAACAGACGGGGTTTCGGGACCTACAGGAGGAGGAGAGGAATCCAAAACAAAGAACATGGACTCTGACTCAAAGAGAATGGAAAATTTAGACTATGAGGAAAAGAACTTATGCTCCGGAAAAGTAACATCCCGAGAGATACGTAGACGATTCGAAACAGGATCCCAACATCGATAACCTTTATGTTATATCCCATACACAAGAAAACAACACATACGGGTGTGTGGTTTTGATTTGTTACGTTCATAAGGAGGAAGATAAACAAAGTTGACACAACCAAAATGATGAAGATGAGAGTAATCAGGTACCTGACGGAAAAGTCTCACAAAAGGTGTGGTATCTTGAAGGACATATGAGGATAAGTTGTTAATATTATAAATAGCAGTAAAAGCTGCCTCGCCCCAAAACCGATCTGTACAACTGGCAGATAACATCATGGCTCAAACTGTGTCTAAAATATGACGATCCTTGCACTTTGCCCTACCATTTTGTTAAGATGTGTAGGGATATGAACACTGGACAAGAGTACCTTGGGTGGACAAAAAACTAAGAAAGAGAGAATTTATATTCGTGGGCATTGTTGAATAGGACACGAGACCTGAGTTTGCACCATTTTAGCGAATGCAAAGTAAATGGAAACAAGTTCAGACCGTTTACGCATAAAGTAAATCCAAGTAAAGCGAGAGTAATCATCAATAAAAAATACAAAGTAACGAAACCCAGTAAAAGTAGCAACATGAGAGGGCCCCTAAATGTTAGAATGTACTAACGAAAAAGGTTTATCAATAATAGACAAGTTATTCAAAAAAGGTAAAGCTGGTTGTTTTCCAAGTTTATAATGCAAGCAATCAAAAGACTCAAAACGAACTGTGCCTAGAACAACTGTATTTGCAGGAGACTTTAGTTTAAATAGGGAGGCATGACCAAGTCTAAGGTGCCAGTGATAGAAAGAGGAATGAGAGACTGTAGCGGAAAGAAATGGTGTCTGGCAAAGGCAAATGTGGTCAAGCTCAAATAGGCTGCTTGTCTTGCGACATGTCTCAAGTATCTGACCCGTCCGCGTGTCCTGAACCTGCACACCAGAAGAAGAAAAAATTATAGTAAGATCTTGCTCAACCAACTAACTGACATACGCAAGGTTTAAGGCTAATTTAGGAATGACATAAACAACAACGAGGTGGGGGGATGATATATGAGTAGTATGGGTAATGCGCATGGAGGTACCGTCAACGGTAAGTATAAGAGGGGATGAGGTGGCGGGTTGGGAGGAATGTAAAATGCAAGGGTCAGGTGTCATGTGGTTACAACTAGCAGAATCAATATACCATGTGTTGTTACCTGATGTCGAGGCTAATGAAGGATGAATTGATAACATCTGAGTGAGCATGTGACGTAGGTCCTCAAAAGTAGAAGGCGGTTGAGGCGACTGTGATACGCTAGTGGCAACAACAATGGTAGAGGAAGAGCCGTAAGAGGACTGACCAGCCTTGGGATTCTTGGGACAATGCGAACGGATGTGGCATTTCTGATGACAGTAGCGACACTCAACCTTAGGGCAATAGATATAAAGATGATCAACATTCGGGCAACATCGACATTTATCAGACTGAGGTGGTCGGGCATCCTTGCGATTATCTCTGTGATGGGAGTAGAAGAGAGAACTACCAAAGCCGAATCAAGAGTAGGAGCCTTGAGCATCTTGAGGTGGGTGTTCTCAAACATAATCTCCTTCATTGTTGTCTCCAAGGAAAGCAAGGGATGACGATGAAGCAAGGAAGCACGCACAGACTCATATGGACCAAGCTTCATCAAGAGCTGAATCAACCAAAAGTGCTCAATCTGTATATCTGCCTCATCAATGCGATCCCACATAGACTGTATAGTAGAGAAGAACTCATTCATATCTTGGCGCGAGTCATGTATCAGTGCATTCAATGACCCTGTAAGCTGATAATAATGCATGCCTCAAGTGGTTTGATATCGATGATGCAAATAATCCCAAGATTTCTTGGCAGTGTCCATGCGGCGAAGTTGAATATAAATGGACTTGAAAGAGGTATTCCAAATCAAAGTAAGAATAATATGGTCTTTACTATCTCACTCATCCAAGACATTCCGATAGTCCGTGAGATCCTTATTGTTGATGGGCACCGTAGAAGTGACAAAATGAGCAACCGGTGCAGAAAAATCGCCAGTAACATAGCTCCATAATCTTTTACCAATCAAGAAACTTTTCATATATTCAACCCACAAATCATAATTATCATCAGAAAGAATAACATTAATCCCGGAAGCGTCTACACGATCCATATTAAGAGTCATACTATAAAGCGAGAAAATCAAGAATAGTATAGCGCACAACAGACATATGGCAGATCGCAGACAAATTTCAGATTGCACACAAACAACAGACAAACAGCAGACATATGGCAGATCGCAGACAAATTTCAGATTGCACACTGACAATAGACAAGCAGCGGACTGATGACAGATCCCAGACAGGTTTCAAATCGCACGCAGGCAACAGACAAGCAGTGGACAAATAACAGATCGTAGACAGGTTTCAGATCACACGCAAACAACAGACAAATAGCATATAAATTTTAGATCGCACGCAAGCAACAGATAGACCGCGGACAGAGGCAGATAGTAGATATATTTCAGATTTGATTCAGTCAACAGACATATGGCAGATAGTAGATAGATTTCAAATTGGACGCAGTCAACAGACAGATGATAGATAGCATGATCTCAAATTCACAAGACCTCCGGGTACTATTTAGGTTAAATGTACCCGGAGAAACGCAGGTTTGTAAGCTATATCTACAGCATGAGAAAAATAATCTCTGATACCATGTT